ATCTTAGCGGGCCCCCCCTACCTTGGACCAGGGCGTTGCTGGGGGGCGGCGGGAAGGGGGGTGGGATGTCCACGGCCGTGTGCTCGGGCTTGCCGCCCGCCTTGGAGGGGTTGTTGGGGGGCCCGGGGTTGGTGACCACCAGGCTGTTTTCGGGGGGCGGGGGGTTGGCGGTGGGAGGGGGCCGGCGGGGGGGGCCGGCGGGGGGGCAGGGGGTGTGGTTGCCCACGGAGGGGGGCGCGGGGGGCTCGGCCGTGGCCAGTTTGTTGTTCTTCATGTTGTCGATGTCCTCGGCCACGGGGGGGTCCCGGCGCCCCAGGTCCTGCTGGATGGGGCGGGTGGTGGACAGCGTGGGGCCCGACGGCGCCGGGGGCGGCTGCGTCTCCCTGGAGAGGAGCAGAGGGGAGTAGGCTCGGAGGGGACCCCCGGCACCCCCGAGAACCGCTCCAGGGAGCCGGGAACGCCCGGAGCTGCCGGGTTCTCTCTCGGGATCCAGAGCGGTCCCTGCGCGGCTGCTCTGGGGGGTCTTGCCGTCTCTGGGGTCTCCCGGAGGGTCCCACCAACCCCCCCGGGGGTCCCCGCCGCACCCTCACCTCCTCCGCCGGTGCCGCCGCTCCTTGTCGTCCCTCCTGCCCTCGCCGTCGTAGCCGGGCGGCGGCCCGTGCCGGTGCCGCCTCCGCCGCTCGCCATCCCCGTGCTCCCCGTCGCCCTCTCCCCGCGGCGGCCGCCCCCCTTCCCGGTGCCGCGGCCGCCGCTCGGGCCGGGCTCCCTCCTCCCCCTCCTCGGGCCCTCTCCGGTGCCCGCGGTGCCGCCGGTGCTCCCGCTCCGGCGGGGACCCGGCGCGGCCGTCGCGGCTGCGGTGCCGCCCTTTGGGCCGCTCGCCGTCGCCGTAGCCGCGCTCCTGGCTGGGCTCCCGCTCCGGGTCCCGGCTGCTGCTGCGGGGCCGGCGGCCGCCCGGGGGTCCCGCGGGGGGCTCCGCGGGCCGGGGGCCGCCGCCGTGCTCGGGGTAACGGGGCGGCTGCTGCCGGCGCAGCTCCTCGGCGCGGAGCGGCCCGAAGCGGGGCTCGCCCGGGGGCTCCCCGGGGCGCGTCTTGTTGGTGTTGTTGTTGCGGTTCTCCTGCGGATCCACCACCAGCGGCCGGTCCAGGTGCGTCTTCATGTCCGGGCGCAGGTGGCGAGCGTAGGGAACCTTCCAGCGCTCCTCGGGGTCCAGCTCGCTGTAGAGCGCCTCGCGGCTCGCCAGCAGGTTCTGCTTCCGCAGCTCGCTCGTGCGCTGCTCCCACACCGACTTGGAGGATTTCTGGTTCTTCTGCTGCTCCTTCCTGCGGCCCCCGGGGGTGGGATTGGGTCGGGAGGGGCCGGGGGCAGCGCGGGGTGGGCTTGGGATGGGAGGGTCCGGGACGGAGGATGGGATGGAGCCGGGACAGAGACGGGATGGAGGCAAGGATGGATCTGGGATGGAGCCGAGATCGATCCGCAGATGGAGCTGTGGTGAAGCCGGGATGGAGCCAGGGACAGAGCTGGGATGGAGCCGGGGCGGATCCGGGGATGCCGCTGAGGAAGGATTCGGGATGGACCCAAGGATGGAGCCTGGGCGGGTCCGGAGTGGCTCTGGGATGGTTTTGGGGATTTTTCGGACCCAGGGATGGAGCCGGGGTGATCCCGGCGGGCTCCGGACACTCACATGGTGACGGACATGTTGGCTGCGGACAGCGGGCTGACCTCGGCCACCTCCTTGGCCTTCTGCAGGGCCAGCTTCTGGTTGGCGGCTTCCTCCTCCTCCTGCTCATCCTGCAAAGCCCCAGCGCCACGTCCAGCCTGGCTCCGAGACCCCCCCGGACCCTCCAAAGCCCCCAGACCCCCGACCTTGGTGAGCTCCTGCGCGTTGGCCAAGTTGTCCACGGCGATGGCCAAGAAGACGTTCAGGAGGGTGTCTGGGCTCGTGTCAAGGCAAAGCAGGGACCAGGGCAGCCCCTCCCCTCCAGGTCCACCCCCAGACCCCAGGGACCCCCAGGGACCCCCAGAATACAGTTTCCAAAGAGGGTGAGGACAATGAAGTAGACGGAGAAAACCATGCCGCCCTTGACGCCACCCTGAGATTTGATCCCGTCGTACATCACCGCATTCCAGTCTTCTCCCGTCAGGATCTGGGGTGGGGGGACAAAGGAGCCCTGAGGGCAGCGGGGACGCCCCCCGAGCCCCCTGCCCCCTCAGGACCCCCCCTCTCGGGACCCCAACCCCCATACCTGAAACACCGTCATTATTGCTGCTGGGAAAGTGTCGAAATTGGTGGGAGGGGTCCCGTCATCAAAATTGAACCTGGGGGAGTTTTTTGGGGGGGACAGCGGTGGGAGCCCCACCAGCAGCAGGTGCCCCCCCTTCTGCCCCCAAAGTGGGGGGGCACAGAGACACCCCCCAGCTCTGGGGGACGTCCCACGCCTGGTCACTCACTGTCCCCCGAAGAGCTGCATCCCCAAAAGGGCGAAGACGACAATGAAGAGGAAGAGGAGGAAGAGGAGGCTGATGATGGATTTCATGGAGTTGAGCAGGGACACCACCAGGTTCCGCAGGGAAGCCCAGTACCTGCGGGGACAGCGGCAGGCTGTGCGGGCGTGGGGGGACACGGGGGACACCGGGGGACGTGAGGGGACACCGGGGGACACGGGGGACACCGGGGGACACGGAGGGGGCGTGGGGCTCACTTGGTGACTTTGAAGATGCGCAGTAACCTGAGAGCTCGCAGCACGCTGATCCCAAAGGAAGTTCCCGGCTTCACAACGGCCCAGATCACCTCGAAGATGCTTCCGATGATAACCTGGGAGCGCAGAGCAGCCCTGGGTGACCCCATGGATCCCAGATCCCATCCCAAGGACCTCAGATCCCATCCCAGATCCCTTGGATCCCACAGAGCCCAGACCCCCTGGATCCCATGGATCCCAGATCCAAAATCCCAGATCCCTCAAATCCCAGATCCCAAATCCCCTGGATCCCAAATCCCAGATCCCAGATCCCAGCACACTCACGGCGCAGTCGAAGCAGTTGAAGGACGAGTGGAAGTAAGGCCGCGTCCCCAGCCCGTACATTTTTATAAACATTTCGGACATAAAGAGTCCCAAGAAAATGAATTCTGCATAGTCTGGGGGTGGGGGGGACACCCCGGTCAGGGGGGTGCCCCTCCGGGGGACCCCCAGAGGTCTTCCAGGCTGGGGAACCCCAGGGGAGGGGGG